GGAGGCTTTAAAAACACATAATAAACGCTGCTTATTCGTGCACTATTCAGCTCCATTTCAAACATTCGACGCTTTAAAAAATGAAATAAAAACAGTGTTAACAACCATGTTTAAAATGCATAAACACAGGGTGGCTCAGTGGGCCACTGAGGTTTGCCATATAACTAAATAAAATGAAATTTCATATCTCAGCCACCAATATAAAGAAAATTTAGCCTGTACTTTAAGAAAAGCGTCATGTATTTATATTTTCCCAGTACCGTTCAACTTGCATGACACCACCTACAAATTCTCTAATATATTTACAAAATTAAGATGTTTGTCAGGATAAAAAGATGTGTACAACATTCCGTAAATAAAAATAATAGGTAGAGCGAGTTTAGATGGTTTTACCTTCCACCACATCCCTGTTTGTGCCGCTGTCACTGTGTCTATCAAGTATCAGATCTGTCGTGCATTGCTCCACACGCGCTCCTCCGTCTTTCTTTTTTTTTGTTAAAAAGCCAAACTTGTGTTATTATTTCCCCAAGAAGACGGATAGAAAAGGTCTTACCTGGGGCTGTGCTGTGTTTGAGATCCCTGTGCAGCGTGCAAGCTGAGCAGCTCCGGACTGTGCGCAGCGTGCAGAGACAGAGGAGACGCTGCCGGTAGATGGGGGCTGTTCCTCGTTTCTGAGCTTACACTTCTAGTTCGAGCGTCAATTAAAACACAAGACATTTAAATATTCCTCTCCCGTATGCAGGCAGCCCTCAACACAGCGCGTACACACAACGCATTGAAAATGGGAAGCCATGAGCCAATGGCCTACTCAGCGTGTAGGATATATAAACTATCTGGAGGCGCTGATCGCCAAATGGCCAACAACTACCATTATATACAACAAGAAAATATGAATTACAACTATAAAATATGAATTAAGATCCTGAAGATTTATTTAACCCCTAAAGACGAGTAAACCGCCTTTTGCAAACAGTTTTAGGTTCAAGCACTTAAAGCTCTTAAAAATTAGAATAAATCAGTTATCGCACACACGAGTTCATACTGTATTAGAGTCAAATCAAACGAGTGCGGTAACAGCTTTAATTTCACTGCTGTGAGAGCAGAGGTTTGTGTGAATAAATAATTAGATAGGTTTATAGTCAAACTACATCAGTCAATTTGACAAACATATGGAGCACAACAACACAAAGCCTGCTATCATATTGATACCAAAACGAAATAATTCTGGGGGAAATAATGTTAAATAATTTCAGAATTTTATATATATTTGAATCAATCGGATTTAATAATATAAACCAAGCAGTTGTGTGCAAATTGTTAGGACCACAGGTTTTTCTTCCAATTTGAACGTCATTAAAAAAGTACAGACGTTTTCATTTTTCTAAGGCTATATACAAGAATAATTCAAATTGTTAAACTTCTGCTTTATTTTCCTATTTTTTTCACTGGTTATGTTGACAGAATCCTCCAAAAAGCAATTTTATTAAAATAAATGTCATTCTTGGGTTAATTTCCCCTGAACTGTGATGTATGTCTCCTTCTGTTTCACCTGGAGAAAAGAGCTGACGAATTTCATATCAATTCAATGCAGTATTGAGTGTGTTTAGCCAGGAACCATTCCACACACATTTGGCCTCATGTTGCAACATCTAATGAATAAAGAAACTGTGTTGATGAAAGAGGTACCAGTTTAATAATGTCAAGTGTTTTTAAAAGTAAATATTAATATTGTTTATGCTTTGAAGAAGGTTTGATTGTGCCTGGCCTCTAATTAGACTATATTTTATCAAATTAAAACAAACATTCATACCTTAATATATAATGTTCCCTTTTCATTGTAGTGGTGTAATTTCATTGTGCATTATTGGATTATTATTCACCTGGCAGGCTAAACAATATGACAAGGCATTAAATAATAATAACAGTGATAACAGAATATAAAACGCTTGTGCCCTCACTTGAATTTTTATATTTATTCTTAACATGGCAAAGAGAGGTCATCCAAGAGACAGGATGTCCTAAACCTACTCACACTGGCCACTTGGAGAACAACACACTGAGGTACAGATGGATTGATTTCAATTGACAACAAGGGAATAGGATATTGTGTGAGTGAGCACATGGGGATGAGAGCAAAGGGTGACAATTAATTACACCTCTGTACTGCTTGCATAAATGATAATGTGCCATACTGCTAACAGTCATTTTGCTTTGCAATGTATCTCATCAATAATGCAACGGCACTGAGATCCATTTCACTGTGTACCACAACGCATACCGTGCACACAGCACTCTCCGTGCATGATACCCAGACAGGCTCTGCAGCATGCCTGGTTCAACAGTGAAACTAAAGCATCAACCCAGGATGCCTGCCTCCCTGCCTGCCTCCCAGGCTGCATGGCTCCTAGGGCATGGCAGTTAGATTACCACACATCCAGGGTTCATCTGGAGTTATCATTTCTGGGTCACCTCAAGTGACACTCGGTCTCGCAGAGGGAGCTCTCAGTCACTCCCAAAGCGTGGCCAGAAAAGGAGCGGAGGAGAGGTGGAGGCAAGGAGGTAAGGAGGCAAGGAGTTGAAGAGAGGCAAAGAAGGAGGAGAGGAAGGAGGAGGCGGGAAGGCTCTCCCAGGATCCACTGTGGTGTAGGGAACCACAGGCTAAACACTGACAGAATGAAGGAGAGGAGTGCAGAGGGAGGGGAGAGGAGAGGTGAGGGGGGGGTGGGCAGAGGGAGGAGTGAAGCACTGTAAGGCTGTATCCCAGTCACATGTATCCCAGTCACATGAGCCACGGTGGGTGGGTGAGAGGATGGTGAGACATCCTGGAAATATTTACAAACACACAGTAGACATGGCTTCATAATTATTGGAAATATCAAAATATAAAAGCATGGGTGAAATATGACCAAAGCTCCATTTTTTGTAGCTGATGCTTAGAATTAAAATGTCTAGCAATGATTTAGAAAAATAATGATGAACAAGAATAAGCCTATAAATAGATTTTTGAGGCCTCAATCCCCATACATCCTGTTTTTTCATTTTCATTCTTATTTTTTTTCCCTCTCCAGGTCTTTCTCCCTCACTTATTCCCCTCTCCTTCTCCAACTCCCCTCTTCTTCCACTTTCTCTTTTCTGTCTCATCCACCACCACTCCCCCACCCCCTACTACCTCTCACCATCACCACCCCCAACCCATCCCTACCTCCCCCAACCCCTCCTTCGATCTCCTCCCTGCTCTGCTCTGCTGGAGCTCAAATCACAACCCCAGTCCCTGGCAGATGGAGGATAGGAGAGAGAAGCTCATAACTAGCCAGCCTGAGCCTCTGCTCTCTGCACACCAACTGCTGCCTGCCTCCCCTCCCTGCTTCCAGAACTGCTCCAACAGCACACCAGCACACCATCACCTCCACCCCCCCAACCGCCACCATCTCCTCTGGGGACAGAGTATCCTCCTGGGGAATAGTGGGCATATTAGTCCATATCTGGCCACACTAGAAAGGACATGGAAAAATAATAGATGGATGTTCTTTATCGCTATATAACCATAGGCAAAGCGGCTTTTCGCAGAAGAAACACTGGTTTAGGTGTTACTTGTATGTGGTGTTATACTCTTTCTTCCTACTTGAACTATTTGCTGAAGACATTGTCAGAAGGGAACATAATACATGTTAGAGGTTAGACAGTGTAAAAGCAACATTACATCACTTATCTTTTAAGTGTAGACAAGAAATCACAGATATGACTAGGCCTACATAAACTAAAACCAGGAAGGAAATAAACAGGCCAAAGTGCTCCTTGGGCACTTAGGTGCCCGTGACTGCCCCTGACTCTCCTTTTATCTGGGCTCATCTGGCGGCCACGACTTGGCCTGGCATGAGCCTGACCACCAGTTGCGGTCTGAGGGAGAAACTGCTCCTCTGTGCTATTTGCAGCCCTGTCTGTCCAAAGGAATCTGGTGCGCTGACTGTCACTCAGTGGCCATGTGTGTTTTTTATCACTAATTCTACCACAGGGATCTGGTTGTCCATATGACCACTGTGGAGGCAGCTGCCCTGAGGCGAGCTGACATTGTCTGTGTAGAACGACCAGACGTTGATGTAGGGGCTGCTCAAATGCTGCTTGAATATCAAGACACACGCCGTGCACGTACTCAAATGTGCACGCACGGCCAATTGCTGAGACTGATGTTCCTTTCAGCCATCATACGGCTGACACTCAAGTTGTTTTTTTCCCCCCGCCAACCCTATGTCAGTTCCTGGCTGGTCTGGCCAACAGTGATGGAGACACTGTAACTGACTGTGGTTGGGGCCATTGGCCGCAGGGCTGCTGTGCCTGTTTGAGATTTTGAGATGGGGGTGGGGGCTGCTTGGCCTGTCAACTGGTTGTGACTGGAGCCTTTCTGGTCACAGTTCCAAACTGGACAGCTCTCTCTTTCTCTGCGGCTAGTGCCACCGTCCTGTAGAAAGGCACGCGGTATAAAGCTGCCACTCTGCTCCAGCACAGCATATGCTCCAGCTGAAGGTCAGAGATGTTCAGTCCAAAATGCCTGAAATAAATACCTCGCGTGTCTGGTTGGCTGTAACTCGGAAGCACATCTGCACTGAGGGAATACAACGCTGTGTGTGTGTGTGTGTGTGTGTGTTTATATTGAGAAATAAAAACTTTTCAAATTTCTTCATTTTTCATCATTCTGCTGGTAGCCGACATTGCATAATACAGCCAAATTCAACTAAATGAATTAATTCATGAATAAGGTCGATCAAGGCATTTTGTGAGTATAGGCATAATGGCATTAATGTTATAAACTTGTAAAATTAAATTAGCTATAGGTATCACAACCAATTAATCTAGCAGACAAGAAATAGGAAAAGCATACAGGCTATGATTATTCCCTTAGTTAAACGCTCTCTCACTATGAAAGCACAATAGACAAGGTTTACTGTTTCTAAACATACTTTAATATGATGAGTGACCAGTCTGGTGGTAGAAGGTGGGGTCTATTTTCAAGTAAATTTCTCCATAAATCTGTTGAAGGGATTTCTGTGCTGTTTGTGTCTCAGTCACCAACTGCTAGGCTAGAACATGATGAAAAAAAAAAAACATTTCAAACTGTGCCATCGCTGGATTGGGAAGACGTGGAGGGATGATGCAGACATGAAAGTTGGCCTATTTCATGGTCAGGCTGCGGGACCGCCGAGGCCCTGAATGGCAATGCATCTACTTTAATGTGACAGACAAGTCCCTAGGCAAAACTCGCAGAGCAGCGGCAGGCAAGCGGGCCCAGGTACTTGATGAGTATGACACCTTCACCGTCCCGCTGTAGAAATGTTGCTGCCGCACGCTCCGCTGCCTCGGTTTAGAATAACACCAAATAAATTCGCCTCTCATCCCGCCTGACGACGCATCCCCAAGAACCTGTCCTCCCCAGCACTGTTGGGATCATGAATCTCCTTGTAGCCGCTCACAGGGCTTTGCTCCGATCACTAAGCACTTGCCTTTGGGACCCACCTGCCGAGGAAAATTGTGGTCGCGCCAGTAGGCGGTTGCAACAGAATTCCGCGGCAGACAGATCCTCTCATCCCGACGCTGTTTGCCCAATCAGGCTGAGACAGGCGAGTGTGTGTGGCAGGTTCAGAGCCAGCGCCTGAAGGCATTGCGCTGCCTACTCACATGCACTCACAAATCACAAATCAAGTGGCACATCTTTCCTCAACATCTCTTGCACGCACAGGTAGTTCTGTATGAGCGCTTGACCTTACCTTGTACTATCACTGTGGGCTACAAAGTGCGGCGTTTAGTGCAACCTTTATTCTATATTGGCCTATTAGGAGCCACAGGGTGTTCAGATGGAGAAAGCCTGCCAGTGCATGTGTGCGTTTAAACATGCTAGTGAACATGAGCTGATCTATTGCAGTGCTGGGATAAGAGGGCCCAGGAGTTCATTAGGCTGCAGCTCAGGAGAGCAGCCGCAGGGAGCTGCGCTGTAGCCAAGTGTTGCCAGGAGGCTGAGCTGCGAGTCCGGTGGGGACGGCTGCTGTTGATGTCCATGGCATGTTTGTTAACAGCCTGATTCCATCAAGTGGTGTAAAAGCAGCACAGCCATGTGTAAGGGCTGACCCTTGGCCTCTGCCTATTTTTAACAACACTGTGTTTCAGTCAAAGGTAGACAGTTCAGTTGAGCACTTGTGGAGTGTAAATGATGCTAATATTCATGCAGTCGTACATTTGGGAGAAAAAAATAACAAGAGCTGCAAAGCAAAAGAGCACCAGACTCCATCTGACTATCTACAGTTAGTTTCGCTTATATGCCCTTTATCTTGAGGGCGAACATCTAAAATGCTCTTTCAGTTTTCATCTCCATACTCCCACAACCCTTGTAAATGCATCAGAGGAGTGGAATACCACAAAATATTAAATACTTTTAAAGAGAAATGCAAAATGAAGCTCAAGGCATTTCATTGGACATTTGAGAAAAATATAAGAAAAATAAAGCAAAGCCAAAATGTGATAAAAGACTATTTACATGAGGTTCTAGTGAACAAATAATTTCTCCTACTTCCCTGTATTGTGAGAATGAAAATAATCCGGAGAATAGTTGTGATTCATAGGAGGCAGGTCTTGCACAGATAGAACCCAAATTTCATCATTTAGTACACTGCTAAAAAATGACTCAAGTAGTCCAAATAACGACAGGCAGAAGACAAGCAACCTGATGGGTTCCATTCTAAACAGGCATTTTACCTCGGTCATGTTAGGCCTATACATAAAACAGAGAATTAAATTGTTTCTTCAGTGCAGGGTCCTTCACGTTGACTTGGCCATATGGACACTAGGGGAGAAAATGAAATAATTAAATGGTGCTAAATGGCTACATGTGGAGCAGAACTTCAGTCACACAGAGAACAAGACATGGACATGTGTGCAGAGCAAAGCACACCAGAGGAGCAAAGCTTAAACAAAGGAGAACAGGATGAGGCAGGATCAAATCAGGACTGAACCACACAAGCAAGAGAGGACAGACGAAGACAGAATGGGACGGGACTGGGCACAGCACAACAAGACGAGACTGGATGGGATGGGATGGTATAGGACAGGGAGGGATGGGGCAGGATGTGGACTAGACAGACCAGAACAAACCAGGACACAACAGAAGTGAAGTGAGCAGAACGGCGGCCCTGTTTCCCAAAGTATCTTGAGGCTAATGTGATCATGAAACCCATCCTGCCACTATATCTACGTCCATTTCCGGGGTGTTTTCAAAAATGGTTGTATTAAGACACCTGTAGAATTAACTAAGAACTATGTGTTTCATTTAAAACCAAGTTAAGTTAATATCATAACCAGTAAACTTTAAACCAGTAATTCTCTCTGTGAATAAATGTGGTGTGTTCAACATAGGGATGCTTATAAAACAGGCCTAACCTACCTGAAACACTAAACAAATGAATATTTTAGTCCTTAGGTTCAATCGGTATCTAAAAAAGTAAAACCACAGGAGCAAAAAATATTTAGCTTTCAAGGAATGAAATGTTGATTTGCACCATACACCATGCAGACCACGTTGTGAAGCCATGATTTTGGCCATTATCTAGCCCAAAGGCCTTTTTGTTTGTTCTACTTACGTTGCTATATTATTATTAAATAGACAATTTTGTTAATGTTTTCTGTCACGCCCCCTTCATAAGCCAGAAAACATTCATGCCCCTCCACCGCTGCAAAAGCGGATTTAATTTTTATTAATCATTCATTTATTCATTTTATTAATCAACAATAAAGGCGCATCAGAGCACTTTTGTTTGTTTATGTCACCACATGAATCATATTCATGCAACTTTCGGTCCATTCAATATTCACGAAACCCCTAAGTGGCTCTATGCCAAGTTTGAGAACCACTCTAATACAGGAAGGTTCATCTGACAACAGAATGACAACATCTGCATAAACAGGTGACATTGCTCTCATTCAAAAACTTTAAGAATCATCACTTTAAGAGATTTGAAACTACTTCTTAATTTGTGCTTATGGACAACATCTACTTTCAGCATATGCAAATCAACAAAAGTACAATACATTTCTTTCTTACACTTACCTCTACCAAGTAACATGTATCATATGGAAGCTCTGAGGCACTAACATGATCCTTATACTAACCTGATTAGCATTGTTTAGAAAAAAGAAAAATATACAGTGAAATTAGCCCTGTTACTTAATTAATTTGATTATATCACCCTTTTCAGCACCATGGACAGCTGATGTTAAGACACACTTAAGAGCCATGTACATAAAGTTTTTTCTATGTGGTGTTTCAGGTGCACAAAATTAAGAACATTTGTCAAAACGCAGGGGAAACAGGGTCCAGAACAACTCTAACCTAACCCTATGAATTCAAGAGGATGGGACAGGACAAAAAAGCTAAAGTCAATAAAGAGAAAAAACATGCACAAAAGAAAACAAATTAAGTGATGTTGAGAAACACACAGCCTGGTAAAACAGAAAACAAATAGCTCACATGTCTGCACGCACAGCCACAGCATTTCCCTCTCTGAAGGTGGGCATACTCTGTGAACACCTTGTACCCACTGGAAGGGTCGACATACATCTGCTTCTTTGCCTGAACATAATGGAGATATTATTATTTAATTAGCATGGCACACAAACGCGTATGCTCGTGTGTGACCCCCGCATTCATAACCATATACAGTACTTATACACACCCAAACACAAAGGAAATGCAAGAATAATACTGAATATGAACATATAGATAGAAACAGATTGCTTTGAGTCACGGAGGAGAGGGACTGGATGACCTCTATGCATAGAAACAGATGTACGACAGTCTAACTGTTGTAATGTTACAAATTAATTAGTGCTGTCCTTTTGTGTGTAATTCAGTAGGTGAGACTCTGTGATGATTAATCAACTGGTGGCATTGTAATATGTTTAATGTTCATTCCATATTTGTAGGATGCTTAAACAGATTTTAGAAACAATCATTCTTTTATTTTCGCCGATCATTCATCTCGTATAGACAAACACCTACTGTACACGAAAAACACTGAACTCCTCTGTCATCCCTTAGGAAGTTAGGAAATGTCATCTCTCAGTCTGTTTCAAACTGAGAGCCCACTAGTTGGTGAGCTTTGACAGGCCACAAAGAGAAAAAGGCCCCAGGCCTTTTGGTGACACGGCCTGTCATTTCACATGGCATTGCAGGGGCACATAGTGAAGCTGGCATAGCTGGGCCCCCTCTGTATTGTGCTTTTCCCACCCAGGCCCTACCACTCTCCCCAGGTCGCGGCCAACTTGCCTCAATTTCATCCACACTCAGAAGCACAATATTTACAACAGAGAAGCCTAAAGGCATGGAGATGACACCTATTCACAACTGCCATCACCACAGAGCTCACTGGCTTTGTTTGATGGAGGAGGAGGTAAGATTTGGTGAATATGATCTGACACAAACAACAGTTGTCATTACTTACATGACATGTTATGTGTATAAAGCACTGGGTAGGTAAGTAAAATTGTAACAAAAAAGTTTTGTTTAAAAACTGGATCTTCTTAAAATTGTTTAAAAGTTTTTGCATCACACATGTCTAATCTACCCACAATCTCTGTGTTAAATGATTCAGTAATTAAAATTGCAGAAAATGTCACTCTGACAAGGACCCATGGGGAGGCCTGCCCTGGGGACAGGTGGGCTCTGGAGATGCACCACAGCTGGCATATCATCATCGACTTAAAGCTTAATAAACAATGGTCTTATTGTTCCGGAATTATTTGTACTCATGGTATCTGGTCTCTTGAGGAATTAACATTGACATCAGGTTTGTCTTTTCATGGAGTATTTCACTTACTCGAAATGTGTATGTAAATATGGTGGTCTAAAAAACACTTACTTACCTCAATGTAGTCATGTCTGATGATTATTCTGTTTTGTATTAAGATTCTCAAAAACCCTGCATTTACATGAAACACCGGCAAATATGGAAGAAAAAACATTGGTATTAGCTCCAAAAATCATCACAACTAGAGCCGCAATGATTACTCGGATAATCGATAGTTGTCGACTATTAAATTAATCGCCAACTATCTGGATAATCTATTAATCGTTTGAGTCATTTTTTAAGAAAAGTCATTTGATTACAGCTTCTTAAATGCAAGTATGTTCTGGTTTCTTTACTCCTCTATGACAGTAAAACAGAATGTTTTTGGATTGTGGACAAAACAAGACATTTCAGGACGTCCTCTTGGCCTATGGGAAACACTGATCGACATTCTTAACCATTTTCTGACTTTTTATAGACCAAACAACTAATCAATTAATCAAGAAAATAATCGACAGATTAATCGACAATGAAAATAATTGTTAGTTGCAGCCCTAATTACAAGTGACCTAGTACATGTTTAATTTGTTTTGGCAAATGGATTCACCTTGTGTAGCAAAGACGTGTATTATATTTTCATTGCAGCATTACAGTTTTTCTGTAATTGTATTTACAATGACAGAATACAGCAGTATTATTTTGTTCCTATGGTATATAATATAAACACCTTAAAACTAAATATATTAACTCATACCGTAGGAAGTGCAGGTTTGAGATACCATTTACTTTATACAGTACTTCTATATATAAATATATTTCAGAGAAAGTTTGATTTTGACTCAGACTCAATTATTTGACAGCTGTAGTTACTTTGCAGGCATAACATTGTTACAGATCTACCCAACAGTAAACTCAGCTCAACATTACAAGAAAAACAAGCTCAACATAAACAGGACATGCTACAACATTAAAATGCAGCTTACTTTCCAGCATTAGAATAAACCTACAGTAGGCCTATATAATAATTAGCACTCTGAAAAGAAACAATGTCTCAGAAACTTAAAACTGTTTTGCAGATAAAAGCCTAGTGTACTTTTATGTAATCTTTTGATTGATATAGGCTACTTGTAGGTTTGGAGTAGGCTATTTATAAAGTGTGGTATTGCTACTTTAAATGAAATAATCTGAATACTATCTCCATCTCTACAGTTGTGCAATTCAGTACAAAATTATAACCAACAAAAAACGTGTTGGAGCCCTGTTTGTAATTTATCATGCGTAACTGCGATAATCAGATTGAACAACATGACATCATTGGATTTCAAGTCTTTGAAGTGATTCATCTTACCTCGCATGCCTCTCTGTGGGTTCTATAGATGTCCATCTCTTCCTCTGTGAACTTTCTTCCAGCCAGGTCTTTTTCACCCCCCATGCTGCTTGTCACCACGTCATTGAAGTCTGCTTCACTCCTGTCTGCATTGATCTGTAACTTGCTTCTGCTTCTCAGTCCTTTCGAGATTTCTTCTGAGAGGTTTGGTATCGACATTGTTACAAGTCGTTTATTAAACTGGACATGTAGAAGAATCAATCTGCTGACAAATGCTTTACCCGGGCAATTCTGATGAAACATGCTCCTGTAACTAACTACTGTCTGGTTTAGAAACGAAGTTGGGACAACTTTGAAATCGCTTCTTGCCTTGACCGTGTGTGCAAAAAGATAGAAGATACCGGGGGGGGGAAGACCATCTCAAACCAGTAAATACAGTGACATCTGTTGTGCTTATCAAAGATTGTCTATGTTACATATTTACTTTTAGCCTCCTCCTCTCAGTTTTGCCTGAACAGAAAGTGTTGTACTTCCTTATTTGCCTCGTCACATTGGTGACATGTGACCAACTCCTAACACTGATCCACTGGCGCACACAGCGCCCCTGCTGTTTCACAGCGGCTACCAAGGAGTCCCTGGAGATAAAAGGATACACTTTATTGAGGGACACATGGTAAAAAAAAATCACAAACGACATAAAATTAAGGAGAATTATAATTAAATGATATCATTATTATAATTAGATTTTTATCACTAAATTATCACACACTAAAGTAATGGATTGATATACTGATTGAGTGATGTAATAAGGTATGAGCACCATAGACTGTAAATAAAAAGGTGAGCACCAGTTACTAATAGAGACAAGAGTCCATACCTTTAAGCATTCATGGGTGCATTATTTATTTCTGAGAATAAATATTGCACCAGTTTGATACTAAGGATCACCCACACTGAGAAAAACATATCTCACTTACTCCCAGTTGTACAGTTATCCAGCCATGCAGATAGTGTTGGTTTTGTTTGTTCTAACCAAATATACATGCGTGACAAATTAAAAGGAAAAACAACATAAAGTATCTAACTCTATTGATGGGATGAACTTCATTTCTCCACAAGATATACCCTCATTGATATAAAGGCCTACAACCTTTATTTAATCAGGAAATCTAATTGAAATCAACAAGCTCTCTTTTGCCAGGGAGACCTGAGTACAGCAGATAGAAAGAGAAATAAATATAGCCAGACATAGCAAAAGGACATAGCATCAATAAATGGATTGTCTTTATCGGTTTACTTTATGTATTTTCTGTACTGTTCTTTTCTACTGTACCTCAATGTGCACCTCTGATCAAATGAATTTCCTCTTTTGGATAATGAAGTTCAATTTGATTTGATTAGAGTATTTATGTAACATGCTATCTTAACGTAATTGTATAATTGTATTACAATTAGCGGGTAAACCAACTGTTCTCCATGGCTGCAATGACACTGCAGTGTAAACAAAGAGGAGTAATATTAAAGTAATATAGTGACTTGGACAAAAACACTGCAAGGTTGATGAGTGGACATTAATGAGTCCTTTCAAGGTTATCCACCGCTGTAAGCCACCTCTGATGATGTGTCTACTACAGAATTCTGGGTAATGAAACCTGACAAGTGTCTTTTGACTGACATTGTGGGGTCAATTTACCCACAGACAAATTACACACCACTAGTAAAAATATATGCATGCTTACTATGAGAAACAGTGTGCACACAAGCAGTATATGATAATGCACATGTAGATTTACATTGCGATAGACCCGGGGAAGCAATGCAAGATTTTGTATTAACTATACCGATGGCTTCAGCAAGATAAATCATGTGCACCGCACCTCAGCTCGGTCAAATGTTTGAAGCCATTCTGAAATGTATTTTCAGGGCCTCAGAAGGACAATGACACACTGTATTGTTCTTTTTTCAGTGTTAGGTTCTCTTAAATGAATGTAATCTGGGACTGTTTACTGTTTACAGTTGTCTGAAATGTGAAACCTCACTGGTTCCCAGCACCCAAGACTCATGAGAGCTTTATGTATGCTTCTTCTTGTGTGTTTGTGTGTTGTATTGTTTTGTTTTTTTTATGTTAAGGCAGCAGCCCTGCCATTATCATTTCATACGAATGCCTGAAACAGCATGCCCCAGTCTGCTGCCACTTAATTACCTTCCAGTCAGCCTGAAGAAATCTGGCTCTGATCCAGGCAGACTCTCTGGAGAGGAGAGAGAAGTACTTCTAAGCCATTGGTTTCAATTTACCATGGGACAAATATTGCTTAAACATGCAAACAATAAAAGGAAAGTCCACCCTAAAATAGAATTTATGTTGCACTGAATTTCATTGTTTTTGGCCAGTAAAGTCAACATCAATAATAAGATAAATATTTCACCTAAAAGGGAAATCAGGTGTCACTTTAGGGAGCTGTTCCACCAACAATGCAGTTATTACAGACTCTGTGGGCTCATATAATATATGGCTGACATATTACACATAAATACGTTTGAACTTGATGATTTAAAGCTGTACTTCAGGACATGTAGCCATGAAACCAGGTATTGTCTTATTTAAATTCCCAACTGAAATCACTGACGTACACAAATTACAGAAATCATTTTATTTTAGGGTGGATTTTCCCTTTAAGAGGCTGGTGACTCAGACTCACTATATGTTTACTGTAAAGTCCTAAAGCAGATTCTAATGGTCACATACAGTGGGCTTAATCTATACGTGGTTTGAGTGTATGACAGACAGTTTGTCATAATCTAAAAGCTTATGTTGCTGAGTTATGTATTGCAACTTCAGCATTTATTTAATGCACGGACTGCTGTGGTAACTGTAAGTACCAGCTACACATGACACACTATAATCATGCAGGGTAAAGTCAAGTAATCATAGCAGTCTTCACCAGTCTTCTACTGTCAACCACAGTCTGATCTGTTGGTCACTGAGCAGCTACACTCAGTTGGGAATTAAGGGCCTTGCTCAAAGGCAATTCAGTGGTGGTAATCAGTGAGGGGGCGAGTGCTACTTTTTCACTTCCCCCACACAGTACAAGCTGACAATCTTCTAATCATGAGCTACTTTCTCAAACTTTAGGCCACCAGTGCACCAGTTGGAGATGTAGTAGTGCCTTTCCTAAGAGCAACTTAATGCTGGTTAACAAATATGAGAGCATTTACAGTATGTCAGTATTTTCATCATCTCTGTTATGGCAAAAATGTATTTGCTGTTGGGCTCCTATGGACCCCCAAACCCAAATACTGACATGTATGCATTGTGCATGTAATAATGTCACCTCCAAGTGCACACAGCAAACAACACATGGCAGCTTCACTATTTGCTGAGAGACCCAGAGGACTTCTGTGCTAAAATAATACTACAAGGTTGTCTGTGTGTCAGTTTGTGGTCATTAGATTAAACATATCTGTATTTGGTGTGCTGCCAACTTTACACTCCAAAATACAATATTAAAAAGATTAAGGTATAACACTTATATTTTAACACAGAGGCCCTATTTTATTCTTATTTTAAATATTTGTATATGTTCTGTATGTGTAACATGAACAGGGCTACAACTTTAATTTCATTGTGCAACCCTGTGTGGTAGAATGATAAATACCTGTACTTTAAACCTTGTATTAACAATGGATCAAATAACTTTGTTTCATGTGAGAACTATCAGCCAACTTTTATGGCCTGAAATTTTACTGTTTTAATTCACTCTCACTGCTGTCATCAGCTTTGTTCCCAGATGCAGCAGGCAGATGATAAACACTACCTGCCCCGCACTAACAGCAGACAGACAAAATGAGTGACTACCTGGCACATTTAGCAGATAAAGTGCCAGATATTTCCCCTAGGAGTTGATGGGCACCACCATAGAGATACAAAAAGATAGTAAATATTGAGTTTACATTTGTCAGGTTGCCAGAAACATGACTCCAAATAAATGTTAATGTTGCTCGCTATCTTCTGGCTATATAAAAAGGCAACTATTTGCTATGACGTTCACCATAACAACTTCATACGGCTATGATATGTTTTGTTATCATGTGTTCAGCCCCCAAGCAGCCAACAAATCTATTAAACCACTTCTCATTTTGGAAGCCCTTACAAGGACCCCTGGTGGTCCCAGGACCCCACTTTGGGAGCCACTGCTGAAGGCTACCGCTGCCACAATTATTGAACTAATAACGCAGTCTCATAAGGAAACACGTTTTATTTTATTAGAAGTATGAATCACACGGCTCAGGTCTGCTATGTGTGCCATGCTTGTTAATCCAAAGTGTAAGAAAGATGCTCGCAGGCAGAAGCAGCAAGCAAGGTGCTCATCTGACGCGCTGACGTCATCAAATCATTGACAGCACTTCCGGGACTGGTGTTTGTTGCGGGAAATAAACGCCGTGGTGCTGAACGGGGGGCTTCAGGCATTAACGGTAGAAGGACCGGTCACAAACTACTACACTACCCCACCTCCAGGCATGTGGTCACGGCAGTTTTCGACGGGTGTAAGATAAGGAGGCAGAAGAAGTGGCGATTTGAGAGTGAGGAAGGACGAGGTGGAAATATCCTCAGACAGCCAGCAGAGCAAAGCAGAGCCGCCCCGACAGCACGGAGTTGTCGCGATGTTGTAACCAAACCATGGACAGCAGAATAAAGTAAGACCTCTTGAGTTTTGTGTTTTCGTCCCCATCTCTGTCGCTATTTGATATAGAACTGTCGACCTGACGGCTAACGTGCGGTGCATGCACGTAACCGTAACTTAACGTTATCTAGTTGGAGCTGAACGTGAGATACGACGGAAGATTTGGCGTAATTTGAGTCATCTCTCTCCGGCAGTGGATTTAACAGCCAGGCCAGCTGGCTCGACAGCATTTGGGTCAGTCTGTCGCTCTGTCTGTACTAGTTGACCATCAATTAGCAGCTCCGCTAGCCAAGCACACAGCTTTAAATAGGTTACATGTGGACACGACGCCGAGCGACCCGGGTCCTGTGACCTAAGTTTGTCCTGATATGTTGTCAGAGATAAGAAACTTCTCATTTTTAACTCATATGCAGCCTGAAGCACTATCAACTTTAGCTAACCTGCTGTTATTGACACTGTTGGCTATTGACAGTGTGACTCATGTAAAGTTGGACAGGTCCACTGTATTATTACGAATATTATCCTAAGGTGCATGTAATGGAATTCAACACACTTGGTATGTATGCTACGGCAGGATACCCACACACTTGTTGCCCATGACTGTGTGTAATAACACCTGCCCCTTGTTTCCCCCAAGTAAACATTGTTTTGTTCTTTACAGGGAGAATCCAGAAAGAACATTTGATCTGGTTGTACAGGTGGCATGTCCAACATCTGAAAATGAAGGTAGGTCATTTTAAAATGGCATGCATAATTAATAGAGCAGGAGTTTAAATGACTAGTTGATTAATTGGTTATTTCAACAACAGTTAGGATAACTTATAAATGATCAACGTAATTTTTTCCACCTTTGTATAATTGCAAATTAAATATTTTTGGTTTTGGCCAGTTCAGACAAATATACAATATACAATACAAGGTATTTGAAAATGTCAACTTGGGTAATTTTGATACATTCATAAGTCATTTATCAAGCAAGAATGCCAAATATTCTTTGTTATATTAAATTTTCTGTTTTTTTTTTAAATATCTCTGTAAATTTAATATCTGTGGCTTTTTTCTGTTGAACTTGTAAAACTTGATATGTGAAGATGTCACCTTGTGCGGTGGGGAATGTTGATGGACATTTTTCTTAAATTTCTTACATGTTATAGACCAAACAATTAATCGATTAACAAAAACAAAAAAAACCGGGTGATTGACAATGAAAATAATTGTTAGCCGTAGTCCTAATATCCATCTTGATGAAAATTGTGTGTTTGCCAGTCGTAGCTTTTTGTATGCCATGTGTTTGTAAAAATTATTGTAGTGTAATTACAGTAATGGTATGTCATGCACCGCTGGTAGCAGTGTTTTCCAAATGCATCAAGTCAGACAGCGAGCCTCACAGACACTGCACTACACTGCATGACTAAGTTCCATCTTGCACAATGAGAGCAATCATTATTTCTTTGGTGTTCTTATGTGTGCTCCAGAGTGTGCTCTGTTATCTGTTGATCTGTTAAGGGCTACAGAAGGTCAACACTGAGTTCAGCTGTAAAATTGTCAGAGATGTTAGCTGCTTCAAGATGTTTATAAGTCTTATGCGTTCTCTATTTATTTGACTGATTTTTCCGGTCTGCGACATTTTATTATGAAGTCTGACCATTAGTCAGCCATTGTAGGCATTTCTCTTGTAACCATGACCCCGCAAGGATTGTTTTAGAAAGATCATGCTTGGGTCAGCAAGCTGCATTAACTGTTCTGCTGTTTGCAGTGGTCAAACATTCCTGCAGTGGTGGCCAGGACAAAAAGTGTTCAGACTAGCCCGGGAAATAAATGGGTCCAATGAAGAACAACACCATATTCTACCTTTTATGAATTTGGGAAATAAAGTAACCTATATTTCACATCAATATCCAGTGTCGCCCATAAGTCAAATATGTAAAAACATTTTCACTACACATTACACCTGCTGTCTTATTCTGCCTACTCAGTTTTGACATTAAAGAGGTGTTATGTGGACGGTTTACTTGTGCAGCTGCTGAGCTGACCGGAGTAGACTGAAAGTTGTCCTTGGATGTAGTTCTGATATTGAATTTTAAACCAAACTCATAAACCACCGGCCTGCGCTGTAATAGCTGACTTCCCCCATGTATGATAAAGGGTCAGACTCATATCCGGACTCCTGCTCCCTGGAGCACAGCTACAGAGCACGTTTGCACACCCCTCAGGTTAAATGGAACATACACACCAAAGTTCTGTCTCTGCCCTGTGCAGAGTCCTGATGGATAAAGAATGTCCCTGTTGGGGGTGTTGTTTTGATGTGGATGTATACTACTTCCCAGCAGGGGCTTGTGATTGTGGTGGATTGTTTTTTAAAGCAGTGGTTTCAGATAACCATATGAGGAATGAACCACTTCTCTCTGAATCTGATCAATTTCCTTTTCTTTGACATCTGAAATGCTTCTTGAATGCTAAAACTGTGCAGAATGGATTGTTCATCGTATTAGAATGGCTCGTGTGCGAATATTACATATTTAGACATGCATAGCAATGTATATGCATTTGTCTCAATTCTGTGGTGCTTACTTTTATTATGAGCTGAAAGGGTTAATACTATGAGTCATAACAGAACAGCTTTGGCCAGCTATGAAACCTCCGCAGTCACTCACCATAAACTAGAGCTGTTTCTCCTACAGCCAAACATTAGGTGCTTGGCCAAAAAGCACCACTTCACATTCACACATTATCTTCCCACTATTTCACAGAGGCAAACAAACAACAGTGCAACCATGATAGACTATAATTAAATTGTCATAGCAACATGGTGTAGAATATTGGAGCATTTGGAGAAGTGGTAGAAGGCTTCAGTTTGCTCATGTTTCTCATATCTCCTCCTCACAGTTAAGGGAATCCAAGTTTAATTTTAGATTGATTTTGGCTGTGATTCACTTGTTGTGTACTCCCTCTACCATCGATCCAGTTTGTAATACAGTTCCTTAAAGTGACTGAAAGAAAGGGTGTCCTCTTTGAGTGACTGGAAAGCTTGGTGTGTGCAGAGTTTTGCTAATGTGGTACTGCTGTTTTTCCGCCCTCACCACATCCTGGTCCTGCAGGTCTGAAACTAGAGGGTAATTCCCTTTGCTTATAGTATTCATGATCAAACTGCAGAGAAACCTGTAATAAGATGAAAATAGCTTAGCCCTTTAGTTGGTCAGTAAACCTGTCCCTCAGCTTCCTGTGTTAAATGGGTTTCACATCTTCTGCAGTAAGCCCTGTTTGTGCAGACAACACCCACATGCTTGAGAACAGGCCCTTTAATAACCCTGTTTTTTATTTTAAAGAACGTTGTTTGATGTAACAATTTTATACATTATAAGTTGACTTATACTAAGCAGTAGGCCTGCAACTAACAACTATTTTGGTAGTCGACTAATCTGTTGATGATTGAAATGAATAATCTACTGATTCAAATTCTGAATCACACAATTGCTCAATGGCTCTTATTTAGCTATCAGCTTTTTTTTTTTGTCTTTTAACTTTGTTTCAACAGGCTCACACTGGAACTCACAAGGAACACTGTTGTTAGCAAGTTCATAAGATTCCTGATGATCTGTGATGTTCAGCCAACAGGGCCGTTCATCTACTCTGAATGACATGGACATTGTTATTGATATGACCTTTTTGCCCTAATATCAAGTGGTATTCACAGGCAGATCAAGTTTTTTGTTTTTACTCTGGTCAAGGAGAATACTATTTGTAATTAAGCCTGTCATTTAGAATAACTAACCAGTGTTCTGATTTTATTTTTTTTCTGTTTGAAAAAAGTCCCAGTTATAACTCAGTGGTGCAGGTAAGAACAGAAATTCCATCACCTTACAGATTTGATTATAATACAATAGTAATTGAGATTTCATGAGAGCATCAGCATTCCACAACAGAAGTGTTACTGGGGAGAAAAACGGCTACAATAGTGGCAGTGTTCATATCTGGATTTGGCCCCACACTTCTAACCATGGATGTGTGGATAGATGACAGACACTGGCCCCTTTTCCTCATGCAGGTCCATGGAGACCTGGCCTCCCTGTTCAGCCCGAGCTCAGTTCCGCTTAGCTCTGTTGGCTCAGTGCTCTGTGGATGCTCAGGCTGCGAGTGAGTGTTGCCTGAGAGCGTGACTGGCATGCTAGCTACTAGCGGCCCTGGCTACATAAAGCCATATTGATGTGCTTCCAAGATGCTGCCAAAGCTAGCAGATGACGCTAACGCTGCCAAGGCAGTAGGTGGGGACAGATGCTACCTGTCCTCACCCGCTCCCTCTAGCCAGATTGTTCCCAGTAACAAAGCAATAAACTTAATAGATAAGCATATCAATTTTATAGCAACATTCGTGCTGCAATTAGGGGAACGATTTACTGTTCACCCAAAAAAACACAACCTCAGTGAGGGCAGCTTGGTTAGCACTGATGCCTCACAGGACTATGGTCTTGAAACCTGGCCCTGGTTCTTCTATGTGGTTTGCTTTGCATGCTCTTTCTGCATACCCCCCCTCAGTTTAGACACACAGGTCAGCTTCACTAGGAGCTCTAAATTGCCTGAATTAATGTGAATGTTTTTCCATGCCTTTATAATAGACTGACATTCTTTACAATATGCATGACATATGCCAGCCTCTAGCTTTGGAAGATCAATGAAAGCAGTTGTTATCTTATTTCGATGTCATGTTTGTGCCTGTCAGTGGTATACCTTGAGCATGTGTCTTTTTTGTCTTAAATAAGTGACAGGTGAATTGTCTCTTTCAGTATCTCAAGAAAGCTTCTCACTAGTATTTAAAATACGCTGCCTGAGGTTTAACTGTTAAAATATAAGGATTTGGGACTTCTCCTTCAGATATAGTCTAGGTAAAGGAAAACCAGAAAGCAAAAGTATAGAGTAGACACATTTTGCCCTTTGATTCACGTGGCCTTATAACTTCACTTTGTCCAACTGTGAGAAGTTACTTTTGTTCTGTATCCTAAGAAAATTTTCACTGAGACCCGGAGGTCTCGCATGTCACCGACAATTCGCTAGTTAGTTATCAATCTGCTTCCTTCTCTGCTGTAGATCCCTCAAGCAGCACTGTGATGTTCAATCTTTCCCCCATTGGCTTTCACCTCTTCCCATTTCAACCCTTTGTATTCGTAGAGCAAAACTCCCATGTAGTAGAACTTTTAGAAAAGGTTGAACGTTGACATTCTGCAAAATGTCAGAATTGCTCCTTGACCCAAGCTTTGTCGGTTGTGCGGTCTGATTGGATTCCGGCTGCGTGTTGAGTTCTCGGTGGGCTCACACTCAGACGGGAGGCCATTGGAGTACTAACAGATGCCATGGCAGCAAGGAGGGTGTTGATTGGTCATTAGAGAGGCCACACTCCACCACTCACACTCCTGAGAGGACCCCAGGGTCTCACACTTTTTTTTTTTTTATCATACAGCCCTTCTGCCTTTCTCTTTTGTCTCACCCACATGACTTTGCTAAATTGGCTCTTTTACACAGAATCAGATATCACTCAATTCTATGTTGTCTTGTAGCTGTTTCTTCTTCTGAAGTGAATTGAGGAAGTCACTCAACTTCTGTGGTATGGTATGATAATGGCCACAGTGTGGGTGAACTTTGAAAAAAATCCCCCCACACTCTACGTCCTCTGATTATAGGATCATCACTGACCCGCAGTCCAACGTCTAGCAGCATAACCTTTTTTTTTTTTC